TTATCTACTTCCACTTTGACGTGCTTTCGAACTGCTAGGTTGGCAGGAGCAGGGACCGAGCAACAGGAGCTCACCCACGTTGCAGGGATTTGAACAGCTGACCTTCTGATCAGCAAGTCCTAGGCTCTGTGGTTTAACCCACACCACACCCGCGTCCCTTAGTGAAATATTTTATAAATTTCACTGATTTCCCCTTTTATAACTGTATTTTCTTCTTTATCTCCTCTTTTTATAGAGGAGTCTCTATCCTTCTCCATTATCTGTTCACAGACCAGAAATGCTGCAACACATGGCTCTTGACCATAAACCTCTAGGTCCTGGTCTCCATGGCAACCATGAGACTATCTCAGTAAATTAAAGGCCCAACACATAAGACAGAACAAGGGAGTGGGAAGGCAGAAATCCATTAGTAGGGAAGTTTGTGCTGCGCCCATTGTCTGAGTTGGATAATTTGATAGTGAAATTCGAAGTGATGATGCAGTGCCCTTCTATAAGGCTGGGGGATCCATTAAGGTGGTCTGTTCCCAGAGACTTATGGTATCTGGTGGATTCCTGAATACTCAGGAATTTTCAAGTTGGCATGCTCACCACTTCTGTTGAAGTCTTACTATAGAATCGTGAAATAAGGTAGGCACTTGACAGGTTGGCTCTTAAGTGTCATCCTCAACACTGAAGCAAACAGGGCTCCCTCATATTCTCAGGAGTGTCAGGCAATGAAGTAGGACAATGAAGCAGAACAGTGCCTGGAAGGGACTCAGCAGCTTGCAAGGCAACATCTCTCTCTGGAAAGCCTGTGGTTTTTATCTGCCTTTTAGAAGACAGGAGTGCCTGGCTTCCTGTGGTCCATGGGGTCACAAAGAGTCAGACACGACTAAACAACAAAGTGATTTTAATGAGTTTTAAGCAGCTTTAACTCTTCAAGTGATTCATGAAGTGACTAGTGAAGATAAGATACATGCGCTTTTTATGTTTTCTGGTTCTGTTTGGCTTTTAGAAGCCATGGATATTTGTTCTTAATGAGTCTATGACTGAATCGCAGACAGAGTGTTGCGAGTACAATTCCTATCTTTATTACTTAGTCAAGAACTGGTTTCGTGTGACACAATATGTTATTGTGCATTATGAATGTTCTTGTAGGTGTGACTCCATATTTTATGTTTGATTACAAATGGCCACAACTTCCCAGAAGCAGCCTCCCTATGCCTTCTCTCTTTTTCACAATGCTTGGTTTCTTCATACAGATGGCACACCCACATCAGTCTCTTTAAACCTCCACATAAAGGGATGTGTTTCCATACTGGTAGAAATGTGCCTATGAAAAAGTAGAGCACCAGACAAGACTTTGCTGCTCTCAGAGATAGGTGACCAAAGTCAAGGCAATTTAGGCTTACCAGGAATTTAAGTAAAAGGTTTTGTTCATAGAATCATAAAGTATAGAGTTGGAAGGGGCCCAACGGGTTGTCTAGTCAACCCCCTGCAATCTCAACAAATGGTTCTTGCTTAGTTTTGCAAATGTGCTAGTAGTGTGTTGTCCGTCAGTTACTGTTCAGGGATCAGCAGAGAGAGAGAGAGAAATGCTGTCTTGTCTATGTGCGTGTGTAAAAACCAGTTGTATGAAAATCTTAGCCTGTTTCCACATTGTCAACTTAAAACACAGCTAGGATGTTCTCTATTTGCGGAGATGAAATTAAGCACTTACAGTTTTTCAGATATTATAACACTGAGAAGCAGAAATTTAATTCCTCCCTGTAACACAGCTATTATCGGAATCAAAACAGCTGTGGTTTAAAGCCCGCATACCCTTGGAATGAAATTCACGGCATGTAATGCCTTGAAGGAAAACATTATGAAAATGATATATAGGTGGTACATGACCCCAGTCAAGCTTGCAAAAATATATCACCTGTCTGATAATAAATGTTGGAAATGTAAGGGGGCTGAAGGGACTTTTTTTCACCTTTGGTGGACTTGTCCAAAAGTGAAGGCCTTCTGGGAAATGATCTATAATGAGTTAAAAAAGGTGTTTAAGTACACCTTTCCTAAGAAACCAGAGGCCTTCCTCCTGGGCATTGTTGGCCAAAAGGTGTTAAAGAAGGACAGAACCTTTTTTATGTATGCAACTACAGCAGCAAGAATACTTATCGTAAAATACTGGAAGTTACAAGATCTTCCCACACTGGAAGAATGGCAGATGCAATTGAAGAACTATATGGAACTGGCTGAAATGACTGGCAGAATCCGAGATTTGGGAGAAGAATTAATGGAAGAGGACTGGAAAAAATTTAAGGACTATTTACAAAAACATTATAAGTTGTATGAATGTTAAGAATTTGCATGATTTGGAAATTTTAGCTTTAGCAACTAGATTCAGTGATCAGGAAATTAAGTTATAAGTAAAAAAAGGTTGAAATTTAAAACTAAATTGTATCTACTTTAGGGTATAAGTTATTGACAAAAAGTATTTTAAATTTCGAAGTATGATATTTGAAGGATACAAATATGATATGAAATAAGGGAATAATTTGCTGATATGTTTATTGTAAGGAACGCAGGGTGAGGGGGATGTGGGGAAGTCCAGTTGGTAATGTAAAAATGTTTCTGAAAGTTGGATTTCTTATCTTTTCTTTCTTTTGTTTTTCTTTCTTTCTAATATGTCTTACATGTTTCTGACCTTGTAACTGAAAATGTAATAAAAATCTTTATAAAAAAATAAAAATAAAGCCCGCATACCCTTATCAATTTTGTCTCTTTTCCCATACTTTTCTGTTGAAAGATGTAGTGAAGAGAGAGTAAAATTAAAAATATGCAATTTAACTATGTGAAGGTCTGTTTTCAGATGACTTAGTAATTTGTAGACAAAAATGCAATGGCTGTGTACTGTGGCATGGTCCCCAATAACCCAACCGGAAAGAAGTTCTAGAGGCAGTTAAAACAGGGTTTGGCCACCGGCATCTGTTCTTCTCTGGCAGCAGCGCTGCTATTCCACTTCGCATCCCCAGAAAGAGGCACTTTGCAGTGAATTCCAAAATGCTGCCACCCATCAGCTCACTATTTTCCCCACCCTCCCTCTTGTTCGGTGTTGTGTTCGCTCCATATAATTTGAGTTAAGTGGATAGCCTCAGTACAAAAAACAACTGTGTAGCAGAGATCACGTTTACTTTGGGGGCACAAAGACACACACTGTCTCTGCTACAAGAAGTCTTCACTCTCTGAGCCCAGAGAGCGTTTCGACGTATAAAGTTTTTGCTGAGGAAAAGTGCACACAGCAAGTGCAAAGTCCACTTGCTCCAAAAAGTCCTGCAACTGCCAGAGTTCCCTCTGTGTAGACATCTTGCAATGTGTCTAACTTCCATCAGATAAGCTCTTCACAAATCTGATACATTTTCCCCAGATCATTCCAACAGTATCCATGTCTCCAATGCCCCACAACAGTGAATGCTGAAACTTGAGTTCTTTATCTATCTTGGGGTATGTGTTAGTTTGCCCAGCAACACAAAGAAGACAGTCACAAGATGCATGCAGCTGCACTTTTAGGAGGCGGGGAACCATTTCTGCTGACTCAAAGAGAAGTGACCCTTTCTCACTTTCCTTAATACTTCAGCAGTGGACTGAAACCAGCTTGCTTTACAAGAAATAAATGAAGTCATACACTTGTCATTTTGTATCTACTTGTATCTACTTGGCAAGTTACAGTGGGGAAAACTAGGAAAATATTAAATAGCAGGAGATTCATGTAATCATGAACGCTTCTGGAATCGCAGTTCAAACTGATATACTGCATTTTCTGTTTTCCAGGTAAACAGTGGGGGGAAATACCATCAAAACCAAAGAAGGTTTAACTGGATTTGTTTCCTTCCTTGGCATACACGTGGGACTTCATATCAGGAAACCATGAGCTGCTTTACTCAAATGCTGGGAAACTGGATTAGTTTTCCTTACTTGGAAGAATACCTGAACTCAGTGGCTCACTCTTGGTGGTTGCGTATGCTTCTGATTTTTTTTTTTTTTTTTGAAATTTTTTTTATTATTTTTACAAAATTTTAAGAACAAACAAACACTTAAAAAGACATACAAACACGTATAATTTCATAATGTTTTTCATAAACCTCTTTTCTGGGACTCCCCCATACCCCCCCCCTTTCTGCATCCCAATGTCCATAGTTTTATAGCAACTCCCAATTGTTACTTTCCAACCTCTGTCCTTAGTTATCTCTGTAATCTGACCTTATATCACTGTATCCCTTTGTTCCTGAAAACCATAACACTCTAACATTCATCAAGTTTATAATAGTCCTTAAGATAACTTTTGAATTTTCTCCATTCTTCTTCCACCGTCTCTTTTCCTTGGTCACGGATTCTGCCTGTCATCTCGGCCAGTGTCATATAGTCCATCACTTTCATCTGCCATTCTTCCAGAGTGGGTAGATCTTGTGTCTTCCAATACTTTGCGATAAGTATTCTTGCTGCTGTTGTAGCATACATAAAAAAAGTTCTATCCCTCTTTGACACCAATTGGCCGACAATGCCCAAGAGAAAGGCCTCTGGTTTTTTAAGGAAAGTACTTTTAAGTACCTTTTTCATTTCATTATAGATCATTTCCCAGAAAGCCTTAATCTTCGGGCATGTCCACCAAAGGTGATAGAAAGTACCTTCAGTCTCTTTACATTTCCAACATTTGTTATCGGGCAAATGATAAATTTTTGCCAGCTTGACTGGGGTCATGTACCACCTATAAACCATTTTCATAATGTTTTCCTTTAAGGCATTACATGCCGTGAATTTAATACCGGTGTTCCATAACCATTCCCAGTCAGCTGACATAATGTTATGGCCCACATCCTGTGCCCACTTAATCATAGCCGATTTGACTGTTTCATCCTGTGTATTCCATTTCAGCAACAAGTTATACATTCTTGATAAATTCTTAGTATTGGGTTCTAACAGTTCAGTCTCTAGTTTTGATTTTTCTGCTTCTGATTTTGCCTTGTTCAATCGTTATAATGACGTATTTGTTTGTCTGTGCAATCTCATTTTTGCTATATGTCCACAAGAAGAGGAATAACCAGCAAGAAACTGGTTTTGATACCAAATGTTGGAAAAAGCCAAAGCAAGTTACGGCTCAAGTTTTAGATATATTTGGAAAGATATGGCATGGTGAGTAAATGTTTCTTTCATACCAATAATTCAGCTACTATACTTTCATACGACTGAGCATCAGAATTTCAGATTTGTGGCCCTGGAACAATAGCTACCACTATTGGCTTTAACTGTGTGGTGGGTACACAGCGAATTTAACGAGTATATCATCATGTAGTGAGACTTTGAGGGTGCAATTTTCTTGAGCATGATAAATCACTAGGTAACCCTGAAGCATAAACTCAATGTACACAAACCATGGAATTTGTCAGCACAGGATGTGATGATGTGATGATGGCTGCTAATTTGGACGAACACTGCATGAAAGAGGATGATGGAATACAGAGAGCTTTGGCTTGATCAAGAGGATCCATCTCAGAGTGTTGAGAAATATCTTTTACATGTGAGCACAACAGAGAATGTCCTGGTCCATGTGGATGACAACCTAGTATCCAGAATGCTGCAACATATAGGAGAGCTTTTTAACTGATCTTAAATTTCAGTTTTCTGAACCACAGTGTTTTCTTCCAATAAAAGATTGCAATATTCCATTTATTTTTCAACAAAATAACATTTATTTGTTGCATTTTATATTATTTCCAGGCTATGAAGTTTTTGGCATGGAACATCTCCCTAAAGGACCAGTGCTTATTATCTATTATCACCCAGTTTGTACTATTGACTATTTCTTGCTTGTCGCTAGACTTTTCAAGGAGACAGGGAGAGAGTGCTTTATAATAATTGATCGTGCCATATATCGGTTTCCAGGTAAGTTATTAAATTTAACTCATGCTTTTTTACATAAAATATGTGAAATATGATATAAAATAAAGCTATAAGATATAAAACAATGCTATAAAATATAAAACAGTGTATCAGAAGCAGGTGAAAAACAACACATGAAATATCACCAAGTGTCCTCACAAAAAAGGAAGTTCAAAACTGCAGGCTTGCTTTTGGCCATTTGCAACATCAACCTCTTCTCCCAATAATGTTTCGGGCATCATATTTGAATCAGGCAATATTTCCAATACAGCATGTCAACCTGGGTCTTTTGGCCCTTGATCACAGATTGCAGGAAAACCTGACCTGACCTCAAAACAGCTATGAGAGTGCCTCTTCTTCTTCTTCTTTTACTCTAGTAATTGCAAGACAATTCCTGTGCTTCCATGCAGAAATTCCATGCTTTCTTGTACAACTTGTCTACATTCTTCCTCAAGGATCTAAGAACTGAAGGAATCTGGATAATGTGACATCTGATTTCTATGCTGTAACTGCAGGCTCTCATATAATAATTGCTGCTGACTTTAATACTAGAACATCCTAGAATGTTTAGGAAAATGCGTCTCTAAGTTGAAGATATCCTCAAGTACAAAGAGTTTTGCAAAGTTCAGTCATTAGTAAAGATGGGATATTCCTTACTGGAAAGAACAACGCAAATTATGGGAGTCTGCTTGGGAGCATCTGCGCTAGCAAACCACCTGTGCAAAATCCTCTGTATTCAAACACCACTGGGTGGCAGCTGGGATGGGGTGGGAGCTACAGCTAAGGAAAAGGGCAGAAGCCCAAGTGAAGCCCCAAAGACATGTCCGTGGCTTTCATAGCTAGTCCAACCTATTACCAAATCTGCACACAGATCCCAGAAAGCATGGCCCCACCCAAACACATGGCCAACCAAGCACTCCCAGAAACAGCTTTTATGCCCCCATGTGACACTGCAATCAAACACATGTGGCACCCTTGTTGTAGTGTCCATGGCCCTCCACTGCCACTCCCCCCACATCATCTTCCTCTGATGACACCACAGAAAGGTCATGGAAGGAAGTAAAGAAGGACCGAGCCCAATGTGGCCCAGTCGCACAGTGTGCTCTTCAGGGGTATTGCACTGGTTAATTAATGCAGCATATGCTGAACTATTTAAAATTTTAAAAGATGATGTGGTTAAGGTGCTACACTCAATATGCCAGCAAGTTTGGAAAACTCGGCAGTGGCCAGAGGATTGGAGAAGATCAGTCTACATCCCAATCCCAAAGAAGGGCAATGCCAAAGAATGCTCCAACTACCGCACAATTGCACTCATTTCACACGCTAGCAAGGTTATGCTTAAAATTCTACAAGGAAGGCTCAAGCAGTATGTGGACCGAGAACTCCCAGAAGTGCAAGCTGGATTTAGAAGAGGCAGTGGAACCAGAGACTAAATTGCAAATATGTGCTGGATTATGGAGAAAGCTAGAGAGTCTAGAAAGATATCTACTTCTTCTTCATTGACTATGCAAAAGTCTTTGATTGTGTCGACCACAGCAAACCATGGCAAGTTCTTAAAGAAATGGGAGTGCCTGATCACCTCATCTGTCTCCTGAGAAATCTCTATGTGGGACAAGAAGCTACAGTTAGAACTGGATATGGAACAACTGATTGGTTCAAAATTGAGAAAGGAGTACGACAAGGCTGTATATTGTCTCCCTGCTTATTTAACTTATATGCAGAATTCATCATGTGAAAGGTTGGGCCGGATGAATCCCAAGCCGGAATTAACATCGCCGGAAGAAATATCAACAACCTCAGATATGCAGATGACACAACCTTGATGGCAGAAAGTGAGGAGGAATTAAAGTATCTTTTAATGAGGGTGAAAGAGGAGAGCGCAAAATATGCTTTGAAGCACAACATCAAAAAAAATGAAGATCATGGCCACTGGTCCCATCACCTCCTGGCAAATAGAAGGGGAAGAAATGGAGGCAGTGAGAGATTTTACTTTCTTGGGCTCCATGATCACTGCAGATGGTGACAGCAGCAACGAAATTAAAAGAAATTTTTTTTTCTTCTTGGGAGAAAAGCAATGACAAACCTAGACAGCATCTTAAAAGCAGAGACATCACCTTGCCAACAAAGGTCCGTATAGTTAAAGCCATGGTTTTCCCAGTAGTGATGTTTGGAAGTGAGAGCTGGACCATAAAGAAGGCTGATGGCCGAAGAATTGATGCTTTTGAATTATGGTGCTGGAGGAGACTCTTGAGAGTCCCATGGATTGCAAGAAGATCAAACCTCTCCATTCTTAAGGAAATCAGCCCTGAGTGCTCACTGGAAGGACAGATCCTGAAGCTGAGACTCCAATACTTTGGCCACCTCATGAGAAGAGAAGACTCCCTGGAAAAGACCCTGATGTTGGGAAAGATGGAGGGCACAAGGAGAAGGGGGCGACAGAGGACGAGATGGTTGGATACTGTTCTTGAAGCTACTAGCTACTATTTCTGGGTTAGCGGAGTCTGTAACCTGAAGCGTATGTAACCTGAAGTGTATGTAACCTGAGGTACCACTGTACTGTATCCAAAAGCTCTGCAGCCTAAAGGGATTGAAGTTTTGGGTGGTGCAGCAAGCACTATGGACTGTATTTTTATTATAATGCAAACCTGAATGTACTACAAACATCACTTGAGGAACCCATGTCTAAAAAGGTGGCCACCTCAGCACTCAACCCCACTCTCACCCTACTGTCAGATCATCTGAGCAAAAGAGGAATTAGCATAAAGTCCCCCTCCATGAAATACGAGTTGAAATGGATTGGCAGAGAGCTATGATTGTGATCCATAATAATGCAATATGTTTGGAATAATGACACTTGTATTGTATCAACACTATTTCCTAAATAAGTTTCACATAAAATGCATTCTTTTATTTGGGACTTACTTTGTCAGGGTGGAAGTTGGCTTTAGATGCAGCCGGGTTGAATGATTTCAATAAAGCTGAATCTGTGGAAATTTTGAAGAAAGGCCATTCACTGGGCATTTCCCCTGGCGGAGGTAGAGAAGGAAACTTCAGTAATGACTACAACATAATGTGGGGTAACCGCACAGGTTTTGCTTGGGTAGCTTTGGAGGCAAAAGTGGTGAGTGATCTTTGTGCAATTTGCATTGCCTTCATGATTATCCTAGGTAAGACATAATCTGTTGACATCCTTGCTCTAGCATCCTAAGTAGTTGAGGATGGCAAATCCCCTGTTTGGGGGTCAAATGATATCTGGAGCTCCAAGTATTTCCCACCCCTGCTTTTTTTTTTAAAAAAAAGCTATTATAATCACTTACATTTAAAAAGAAAAACAGATTTTTTCTTTTTCAATTCTTGAAAATCTGGGGGACAGCATGTGCAATTTGAAATCAATTACATCAAGCTTGTCATTGCAATACCAGATGCGGAGCATTATTCCTAGTCCTTAACCAAAATAAAGGTGGAGCGGGTGGGGTGAAGTAATTCTCCAGTTCTCAGCTACCTTTTGATTTTGATTTATGATTTTATTCTTTTAGCCCATCATCCCTATATTTACACAAAACATTTGTGAAGCATACAGGAACATTAGAAACACAATTGAGTACCTTGGTTGATCAAGAAATCTGCTTTCAGGCAATAAACATATTAATAATATATAATTTTTAAAAAACAGAATACCTTCTAGTAGAGTTTATTCAGTTGTACACTGATCTGCAAAAGCTGTGCAGCCTGTCTCAGGACTGAGTGAACATGTCCTTGCTAAGTTTTTTATTAGATTTTAAAGATAGCTATAATATATAAAAGTGGTAGGAACCCCAGCATGGAGGGGAACGGAGCAGGAAAAAAATATATATTCTGCAGTCTATTTTACAACTTTTGACCTTTTTGAAGAGCTGAAAGGATATGTTGCTTTTTCTTTTCCAAAAGTCTCATTTAACTATTTAACTATTTAACTCTTCCTCTCTGGGATGGATTGGCTGGAATTGCTAAAAACTCAGAATGCCAACTAATTTCAAATTTGATATGGGATCGCTTTCTTTCAGACTCTTTCCCCTTTCAAACATAGGGCTGACAAGATGGTTATATGAGAAAACACGGCTTCTCTACCTTCCCGTATATGGAGGATTTCCAGTGAAACTGAGGACATACCTATGCATTTTATGTAGTGCTGCACAAAGAACTGCTCATGCAATAGGACTTCTTCTGCCCACCATGTGCCCCAGAATCTGCCCCGGAGGGTCCCTCCAAGCCCCCTCCCCACTGGGGAACCCAGTAAGCACTGTATGCTCTTAAGCCTCAGTAAAACAGAAATATACTCAGAGATCTGTAGTGATTTCATGCTCTTTATTGCAGCTTGTAAAACAGTGATTTAATTGCCCCCCCAAAAAAACCTCAGGATTTTATATACATTATTTACACAATGAGTCCCATCTGATTGGCTGATTGTGCTTCCCTCCTGGAGCCTGATTGGTCTTTTCCTGCAGGCCAATCCGCTGTTGCATTCTACGATCCTACCAGCTTACTAGGCTGATTAACTTCCTCCTGGAGCCTGATTGGTCTTCTCCTGCAAGCCAATCAGTTGTTGCATTCTAGGATCCTACTTGCCTATTGCTCTAGGATCCAAGCTTAGTACATAACAAAAACTATTACTGAAGAACTTCTGATGTTTGTGTGATTTACTGCAATTCTGCAAGTGAATGTGACTCCATGCTACTCTGCTATTTTTACCCATGCCCTGCTGTGCTCTTTTCAGGCAAGGAACCAGGGGGTGACTGTTTTTTCTCACTAGTCCTGTCAGCCATTGCCATTCTAAGAAAACGAGGGAGGTGTTCATAGTCAGTTCAGGCACCTCTTTTTCTGGAAAAATAGCACTGAGCATAGTGAAATATAACTCAATAGCATTTCTGCCGTTTTCCTCACATAGCTGGAGGTAAGAACCATGCAGGAAAACTGATACGTACAAAGCAGCCCAAGGCACTTATGTTTGGTTGTATCTCTGCCATTCTCATACAGTGCTCTTGGTAAAAAAAACATAAAGACAGTGGGCTGGATTCACAGAGAGATGAACAGTTTCCTAGTGGGGTTTCCTGGCCCTGGCTGCTCTTGCCCAACCCTCTATGCTGAAAAAGTCACTCTTGAGGATTGAGGGACAAGGACTGTCATATTGCGCATCTGTAACTGGAAAAAAATGGGATTCTTTATTCTACTGTTTCTGATCCCTTTAGCTTTTTCCTCACAGATATGAATAACTGTGAATATCCATTTTGCAGTATATTGATAAGGGACGCGGGTGGCGCTGTGGGTAAAAGCCTCAGCGCCTAGGGCTTGCCGATCGAAAGGTTGGCGGTTCGAATCCCTGCGGCGGGGTGCGCTCCCGTTGCTCGGTCCCAGCGCCTGCCAACCTAGCAGTTCGAAAGCACCCCCAGGTGCAAGTAGATAAATAGGGACCGCTTACTGGCGGGAAGGTAAACGGCGTTTCCGTGTGCGGCTCTGGCTCGCCAGAGCAGTGATGTCACACTGGCCACGTGACCCGGAAGTGTCTCCGGACAGCGCTGACCCCCGGCCTCTTGAGTGAGATGGGCGCACAACCCTAGAGTCTGTCAAGACTGGCCCATATGGGCAGGGGTACCTTTACCTTTACCTTTAATATATTGATATAACACAATATTCCTTTGTTCTTCTTTCAACAGACAAAGACTGCAATTGAAAATCTTTGGGATAAACACCAAAAAAGGCCAGGAAATATATTAAGAGCTATTTCAGAACGATTTGATAAGCATTACAAAGCTAACTAGTCCATCTAAAGCAGTTGTAATGTTTATGGTCTTGCATCTGTAATAGAAAACTTTCATTATTATGTAATCAAAGCTAAGTTAAGATACACAGAATTGTGCTGGATTGTATATTAATTATTGTGAAGGGTCATTAGCTCATTAGCTCAGCCCTTGGTGTACATGCTGAAGAGCCTAAGTGCCTTCTTGTCCTATCCTGCAAAACTCCCAGAATCCCCCTTTTGGAGTCTTACACTGGTAGCACCAGAATCAAAGAGTGTAACGGGAAGGCGAGTGTTTAATTGTACCTTGAAATAATGCTATATGTGAAAGAGTAATGTCTACAAATCTTCTGTATCAAAACAGTGACACTTCTTTTATGTTTATAAAAGGCTGTTCCAAGATCTGAGCCATGTAACACAAATCTTTCTGCAGAAGCTCTTGTGTATGCTCATTGAGTCTCAGGACTTGGACAGCATAATGATGATACTAAAACACTCACTTCCTGAACACGAACATTGAATACATGGAGTAGGCTTTGCTATCAAAAACGATCTTGTGAAGCTCTTGTCAAAAGTCCCTACCGGCATTCATGAACGACTTTCAACTCTTAGAATAAAACTCACCAAAAACCAACAGGCTACAATTCTAAGTGCTTATGCACCAACATGGAATGTCGATGAAGACATTAAAGATAAATTTTACTCTCAGCTGGATATCATCCTATCAGAGACCCCTAAGGAAGATAATATTATCCTCCTGGGTGATTTTAATGCAAGAGTTGGGCAAGATTTCGATCTGTGGGCTGGGACTATTGGGAAAGAAGGAGTTGGCAACAGCAACCAGAACAGAATCTTTCTTTTGACTCTATGTGCAGTGCACAACCTTGTTATTACCAACACACACTTGCAACAAATATATATATTTGTGTATATAAAGGTAAAGGTAAAGGTACCCCTGCCCGTACGGGCCAGTCTTGCCAGACTCTAGGGTTGTGCGCTCATCTCACTCTATAGGCCGGGAGCCAGTGCTGTCCGGAGACACTTCCGGGTCACGTGGCCAGCGTGACATCGCTGCTCTGGCGAGCCAGAGCCGCACACGGAAACACCGTTTACCTTCCCGCTAGTAAGCGGTCCCTATTTATCTACTTGCACCCGGGGGTGCTTTCGAACTGCTAGGTTGGCAGGCGCTGGGACCGAACGACAGGAGCGCACCCCGCCGCAGGGATTCGAACCGCCGACCTTTCGATCGGCAAGTCCTAGGTGCTGAGGCTTTAACCCACAGCGCCACCTGCGTCCCATTTGTGTATATATATATATATATATATACAGTCATACCTTGGATTCTGAATGCCCTGGAACTTGGACATTTTGGCTCCAACAATGGCGCAAACCCGAAAGTGATTGTTCCGGTTTGTGAACATTATTTTGGAACCCAAACATTCCATGGCTTCTGATTGGCAGCAGTAGCTTCTTGCAGCCAATCAGAAGCCACAATTTGGTTTTCAAACATTTTGGGAAGTTGAACGGACATCCGGAACCGATTCCATTCAACTTCCAAGGTACGACTGTAAATTTAAATCATGGAGGCACCCTCAGTCGAACCACTGGCACCTCTTAGACAATGCAATTGTCCAAGCTGAAGATTGCCATGATGTACTCCTTACCAGAGCTATGAGGAGTGCCGACGACTGCTGGAGAGATCACTGATTAATTCGGTCCGCAATGGCTATCAAGATTATACCTCAACGCAGGCTTCAAGGAAGGAAACACTGAAGCCCTTTAAGATCCCATTAAGTGGGATTGCTTCCAAACTACTCTTTAGGACCATCTACTTTCAGATTTCCCTGATAACATTGAGGAACACTGGACCAAAATAAAAACATCCATTGTTGCAGCCCATGAGCACCTGGTGGATAAAAAAATGCTCAAGTGATCCAGCACTTAGCCAACACTCATGATGCACAGAGTTTCATTAAAGCCACAAAGGCCATCTATGGGCCAATAAATCATGGCATATGCCCCCTATGCTCAACAGACAGTACCACACTTCTAAAAGATAAAAAAGCTATTGCACTGTGATGGAAAGAACATTACCAACATCTCCTTAACCACAACTCTCTGTAGCTGCTGAGGTCCTCTCACAAATTCCGCAAAAACAAATTAGAGATGAAAAACAACAAAGCCAGCGAACCTGATGGGATACCTGCCTGTATATGGCATTTATTGACCTGACTAAGGCCTTCAACACTGTAAATCGTAATGCCCTGTGGACTGTCCTTCTGAAAATTAGTTGCCCAGATAACATCATTCGGTTCCTCCATGATAATATGACAGCAACAATCACAGATAACAATGGCTCTCAAAGTGAACCATTCACAGTGCGATCAGGTGTTAAACAGGGTTGTGTTATCGCCCCAACTCTATTCATTCTATTTAATGCCATGATCCTACACTTTGTCGAAGGAAAACTCCCCACCAGAGTAGAAATTATATATCTAACAGATGGAAAGCTCTTTAATCTGAGTAGGCTGAAAGCAAAGAGTAAGGTTACCATAACTTCCATCAAAGAGCTTCAGTATGCTGATGACAACATAGTGTGTGCACACTCAGAGGATGACCTCCAAACCATCCTAAATATCTTCGCAGAAGCTTACAAAATGCTTGGCATATTATGCAACATCCAAAAAATCAAAGTGATGCATCAACAAGCCCAAAACAAGCCCCCTAGAGTGCCACAAGTCCAACTGGATGGTGTAATATTGGAAAGTGTTGCTCACGTCTCCTACCTGGGCAGTTATCTTTCCACAAGGGCTGACATCCAGCATCGCCTGAGCTCTGCAA